ACAGAGCTAGTTTGGGGGGGAATTATGGGGTCAGGGTGGGAGCAAGATGACCCCCTGACCCCACTGGGGTGGATGTTGACCCCCCAGGGAAACCTGTGCCAGGTTGGGATGCTGCACCAGTATGTCCTGTGGGTACCTGCTCTCTCTCCCAGCAGCTCCACAGCGACCAGACCCCCCACAACCTCCTTATCCCCCTCACTTCACCTCACCCCAGTTGGAAAATCTACCAAACTTTAATGGAATAAGGTTTAAATTTCCATGGAGGAGGCAGGAACAGGGAGAAAAAGGGGAAAAAGCCAAGGGGCATCCTGTGTGCCATGGAGAATGGAAATGGGGGTTGTGTCCCCCCACACTGTGCCCCCCAAAGCTCATTGAAGCATCATTTTCCCTTGGGGAGGGAGGGAGGGGGTTGTTGGGGGGCCCCAGCCTGGGGGGCTTGGGGGGGATCTACCCACGGGCTTTGCTCCGTCCATCCCGCAGCGCCTCGATCCTGGGGGACAGCTCCCCAAAAGTGGGTCTGGCACTGGGGGCAAAGGCCCAGCAGCTCATCATCAGCGTGTAGACCTGTGGAAAAAGGACAGGGAGATCATCAGGGGAGTGGGGTGACCCCCAGGACCCCCCACCAGCCCAGGTAGAGCTCACACCTCTGCGGGACAGCCGGAGGGTGCTGGGAGACGTCGGTTGTCCTTGAGGAGCTCCAGCAAGAGGCAGATGATCTGTGCTGGCTTCCCAGTGCCCATCATCCGCAGGAACTCCTGTGGGAATGGGGACATGGAATCATCCAGGTTGAAGGAATCAAATCCAACCATTGACATCCATCAGCACAGGATGGTTAAGGGGAGCTCATACCATTCATACCACAGGTAATGGGTCTGAGGTGGGGACAGCAGAACCCCAACCCAGGGGGTCTCACCTCTGAGGGGCTCTTGCTCTTGTTGCTGTAGGTGAAGAGCTCATAGAGGAGGACCCCAAAGCTCCAGACATCAGATGCACAGGAGAAGACGTTGTCTGCCAGGGATTCAGGTGCATACCTGCCCATGGGGGATGCTGAGCACCAGATCCAGCTGGAATTAAAGCCCCCCCATGTCCCCCTCTCACCAGAAGACAGGACTCTGGCCAGGCTCCCGCACAACATAGTAGTCCTTGTCCTGTGGAAGCAGCTTGGCCAGCCCAAAATCCCCAATCTTCACGTGGGTCTCACTCTCCACCAGGATGTTCCTGCTGGCCAAGTCCCGGTGAACGCAGCGCTGTGCTCCCAGGTATTCCATGCCCTGCCAGGATGAAGCTGCTTATGGGGACCAGGACCCAGGAATGGCCCTGGGAACTCCTCCTTGGTGGACCAGGACCTGCTGGCTCATCCCAGCTGGACCACAACTTCCCAGGTAAGACACAGCGTTGCCCAGCTGGGATGTAAGTGGTCATGGGGACTGGGATCCAACATCTGGATTACATCCCAACTGGATCTTGAGCCCTTGGGTGAGCCTTGGCATTTCTCCAGCTGGGATGTAAGTGGTCATGGGGACTGGGACCCAACATCTGGATTACATCTCAGCTGGATCTTGACCCCTTGGGTGAGCCTTGGCATTGCTCCACCTGGGATGCAGCTGCTCCTAGGGACTGGAACCCAGCAGCATCCCTGCAGTCTGGCCCATAACCCCCTAGGTGATCCATGGCATTGCTCCATCCCCACCCTGGGAGATCAGGACCCCTATTTGCCACCTCCCCTGCCCTGATCCCACCTTGCAGATCTGCCAGGCATAGAGAAGCAGTGTCCTGTGGTCCAGGCGGGGCTGGTTCTTCTGCAGGTAATCCCTCAGGCAGCCGTTGGGCAGGAATTCCATCACCAGCCGCAGCCCACGCCACCCTGGGACCACATCCATCAGCCTCTGGGCAGGATGTGGGCAGAGCTGGGATGTGAGATCCCTCCCTGCTCTCTCCTGTGCCCTGCTCACCCCTGCTGTAGCACACCCCCCGGTACTGGACGATGAAGTCGTGCTGCAGCGAGTGCAGGATCTGGATCTCCCTCTCAAAATCCCTCAGCTCCTTGGCTGAATTCTGCTGCAGCTTCTTCACTGCCACCAGTTCACCTGTGCTGTCACCCACGGGGTCATAGCGACACAGCTCCACACTCCCAAAATTACCCTGGGGGGGAGAGCCAAGGTGTGGCATGTTGGGATATTATTCCCTCCCCAACTCCCCCCCACAGGGCACAAACCAAGTGTTCCTCAGCAAACAGGGATGCTCCATGCCCCAAATGCAGGGAAAGGAAGAGGAGGTGCATTGAATCTTGGGGTTCATGACTCCTTTTTACCTTTCCCAGCAGTGAGATGTACTTGAGATGCCTCTCCTGGAAATATGCAGGGTCCTGACTCCCAGCCAGGAGCTCATTTCCCCAGAAGTTGTTCCGGAGTGTCACATCCGTAGGTGACAGATCCGAGAGCAGCTCATAGTCTGGGGGGAGAGGGTGGTGAGGGCACCGTGGGGGTCCCCTGTGTCCCCCCCACCCTGTCCCAGTGCCCACCAGAGGTGATGAGGCTGTTGAGGTCTCGGATCAGGGCACGGAAGCAGGGACGGCGCTGGGGCTCGTAGTCCATGCACTGGGCCATGAGCGTGGCCAGCTCTGGCCACTGTGGAGCTGGGAGCTGCAGCCTGCTCTGGTAGAATTCCAGCTTCTGTGGGAGTGGGAGAGGGGTGAGGAATGTTTGGAGAGTGCCTGAAGGCCCTCCAGTCAGTCCCCAGCTAGGGGAGTGAGCAGAGACTGAGTGCAACAGGATGGGATGGGAGGGTTGGGATGCAATGAGACAGGGCAGGAAGGATGGAATGCAGTGGGATGGGGCAGGAACTTCAGAATGTAGCAGAATGTGGCAGCAGAGTTGGGATGTGGTAGGATATAGGGCAGGAGGGTTGGGGAAAGAGGGTCAGGATGCAGTGGGATGGGGCAGGAGGGTTGGGATGCAGTTGGATGGGGCAGAAGAGTTGGGATGCAGCAGGACAGGGCAGGAGGGTTGAGGAAAGAGGGTCAGGATGCAGTGGGATGGGGCAGGAGGATTGGGATGCAGCAGGACAGGGCAGGAGGATTGAGATGCAGTTGGGTGGAGCAGGAGGGTCAGAAGAGTTGGGATGCAGCGGGACAGGGCAGGAGGGTTGAGGAAAGAGGGTCAGGATGCAGTGGGATGGGGCAGGAGGATTGGGATGCAGCAGGACAGGGCAGGAGGATTGAGATGCAGTTGGGTGGAGCAGGAGGGTCAGAATGCAGTGGGATGGGGCAGGATACAGTGGATTGGGGCAGCCTGACCTTCTGGGGCTCCAGCAGGCTCAGGGGCATGTTCCCTCCACTGAAGATCTCCCAGAGGGTTGCTCCAAAGCTCCACTTGTCCGCGGGCAGTGCCAGGCTCTTGGGATCACTGACACACTCCGGGGCCACCCAGGGGATTCTCTCCACCAGCACTGGGGGGGACAGCCCTGCTCAGCACCCCTGGGGGATCCTGCACCCCCAAACTCCCCCAGAACCCCCAAACCCTCCCCCAGCACTCCAGGCACTCACTCTCCTTGGCCAGGACGGTGACGCTGACCCCAGGGTCGTTGAGCTTGATGAAGGGAGGAGTCCCACTGGCTGCATCCCCTTCCCGTGCCAGCAGCACCTTCTTGGCAGAGACATTCCCGTGGGTGATCTTCTTGTCCTCCTGGATGGGGAGAGAGGGATCAGGACCCTCAGTATGAGTCCATGCACTGGGCTGAGCTGGGAGCAAAGGGGGAAGCCAACAGGGATGTGTGGGAGCTGTGGGACATGGATGTGTGGGAGCTGTGGGATATAGGTGCATGGAGACATGGATATATGGGAGTTATGGGCCATGGATGTGGGAGAGTCATGGCATATGGATATGTGGAGTTGTGGGATATGGGTGTGTGGGAGTCATGGGACAAGGATATGTGGGAATCATGGGACAAGGATATGTGGACATGGGACACAGGAGCATGGGAGTTGTGGGATATGGATGCTTGGGAGCTGTGGGCCATGGATGCACAGTTGCTGCAGGATGCAGATGCACAGGACTCAGAGGACATGGATCCATGGGAGCTGCAGGACACAGATGCCTGGGAGCCATGGCATGAGGACACTGGGATGAGGACACTGGCATGAGGACACAGGAGAGCTGCAGCCACACAGATCACAGGACACTGGCACCCAGAGCCATGCCAGCCACCAGCTCACCAGGTAATTGAGGGCATATGCCAACTGCTTGGCCACTGTCAACTTCCAGCTGGTGGTCACTGTGCCCTTGGCATGGTTCTTCCTCAGGTAGAGGTCCAGGGGCCCATGCTTGATGTACTCCTGCACCATGATACCTGTGTGGAGGCAGAGGGGGGGTCAGGAGGGGGCTCAGCGTGGCCTTGGCACCGCAGGTTGGGCACTCACTGTCCTTCCCCAGGCTGACGCCGTGCAGCAGGACCAGGTGCTTGTGGGAGAGCTGGCTCATGGTGCTGGCTGCCTCCAGGAAAGACTGGGAGGGGACATGAGGCTCAGGGAGGATCCTGGGGACCCCCCAGTGCTGGGTCAGGGGGGGCTGTGCCCACCTCTCACCTCGGAGCAGTTGCGGTGGCTGCTGTCCATGACCTTGAGCACCACTGTGGTCTGGTGGGTTCCTTCCTCCTCCTCCTCCTCGTCCTGGTCACGCTTGATGCCCTTGTAGATCTGGGTGAAGGAGCCTTGGCCCAGGCTTTCCCCCTGATATGAAAGGGAGACACTGTTGGGGGGGTCCTTGTGCCATCTGGAGGGTCTCTACCCCTTGTGCCCTGTGCCTTGCTGGGGGTTCTCTAGCCCCGTACCCTCGTGCCCTGTCCCCCTGTGATTTCATGCCCTGTCCCCCTGTGCCCTCGTGCCCCCCATACCCGTGTCAGGCTCTGGGGGTTGATTTTGTGGAACATCATCTGGTCGAGGCTGCGGCAAGGGGCGAGGGGCGAGCCAGGGGGGCGTGGGACGCCGCTCCGCACGATCAGCAGGTTGGACTTCTCTGGGGGGACAGGGGAGGGTGTGAGGGGGGCACAGGGCAAGGGGCACCTACCTGTTGCTCTGTGATGTCACAGCAGCTCTGATGTCATGTCCTGTGATGTCACATTACCTCCCTTGTGCCATGGTCTGCTCTGTGGTGTCACACATCTATGCCCTCACAGAACCCACTGTGATGTCACAGCCTGCTCTGTGATGTCACAGCAGCTCTGATGTCACGTCCTGTGATGTCACACTACCTCCCCCGTGCCATAGTCTGCTCTGTGGTGTCACACAGCCTCTATGATATCATACCCTGCTCTGTGAGCTCACAGAACCCACTGTGATGTCACAG